AAACTGGTTGAAGATGGAGGGTATTGAAGAAGCTGTGGCCAAAGGATGGGAAATGGGTAGTGAGGGTTCTGAAATGTTTCATGTCCACCAGAAAGTGAAACATACTAAAAAGGCAATCTTAACCTGGTACAACCCAGTGAAGAGGAATAATGAAAAACTGATCCAAACCCTTACAGCCAAGATGGAAAAATTGAGAGAAGAGGGCAGAGAGAAGGATTGGGTTTCATGGTGCTCCACAAAATGTGATCTTGACAAGGCATACTTGGAGGAAGAACAATATTGGAGGGCAAAGTCCAGGGCTCTATGGCTTAAAGCTGGAGACAAAAATACTCGTTTTTTTCATGCCTTTGCTGCTCAGAGGAGAAAGAGAAACTCTATTTTGAGGCTTGAGTCTGGAACAGGTGAGGTGATTACTGAACCGAAGAAGTTAGAGGAACACATTGTAAACTACTACTCTTCTCTTTTCAAATCTGAAGGATCTAATAGGGGGGATGAGCTTCTCAATCATATTCCTCAGACTGTTTCAGATGCTGCTAACAATGAATTAATCTGGCAGGTTAGTGAGGAAGAAATTCATGATGCTCTCTTTAGTATGGCTCCTGATAAGTCCCCGGGGGAAGATGGGATAACTGCTGTGTTCTTTCAGCATTTCTGGCATTTGGTAAAAAAGGATGTGTGCAAAGCTGTGTCTGAGTTCTTTAAAACTGGTACAATGTTGAAAAACTGGAATCACTCTGTGGTATCTCTGATCCCAAAATGTTTGTACCCTGAGCAACTGAGCAATTATAGACCAATAAGTCTCTGTGGAGTCCTGTACAAGATTCTGGCTAAGGTGTTAGCTGAAAGATTAAAAGGGTGCTTAGATGGGTGTATCAGTGAAGCTCAGACTGCCTTTGTCCCTGGGAGGCAACTACTAGACAATGTGGTGATTGCCCATGAGATTTTTCACTTCCTGCACAGACACACAACAGATAAAAATGTTTTTATGGCTTTAAAAATTGACATGGAGAAAGCATACGACCGTGTGGAGTGGAATTGCATCAGGATGACAATGCAAAAGATGGGCTTTCACTCAAAATTTATTAGATGGATTATGGCATGTGTCTCAACTTCCACTTTCTCATTTAACCTGAATGGAAATGTTTCTGGTTATGTCTCCCCTTCGAGAGGAATTAGGCAAGGTGATCCATTATCACCATATCTCTTCATTTTGGTTTCTGAATTGTTTTCTGTGGGGATTGCTCACCAGGTGAGTCAGGGTTTGTTTAGGGGGATCAAACTGTCAAGAGATGGTCCAATGATTACTCACCTTCTATTTGCAGACGATGCTCTTCTTTTTTGCAAGGCAGATGAACACCATGCTAACATTCTGATGAGGGTGTTGAAGAAATATCAAGAGTTTGCTGGCCAAAAAGTGAATCTCCATAAATCTTCCATGTTCTTGAGCAAAAAATGTTCAGTTGAATTGAAAGGGAAAATTTGTTCAATCCTGCCAGGGGTGATTGTGAAGAGGTCTTCCAGGTATTTAGGGCTCCCCCTGGGAATTGGGGCATCAAAGATTGAAGCTTTTCAGTTTGTAGTGGAGGCTGTCAGGAATAGAATTTGCAGTTGGAAGAATCAGTTTTTGTCTACTGCTGGGAAAGATATATTGATTAAGGCAGTATTGAATGCACTGCCAATCTTTGTCATGTCCTGTTTTGTGTTGCCATCTGGAATTTGTAAGGAAATAAGTAGAGTGCTGGCCGAGTTCTGGTGGAAAAAAGGGGAGGGAAACAGCAAAGGAGTTCATTGGCTGGCTTGGGAGAAGATGACATGGTCTAAGCAAAATGGGGGCCTTGGTTTCCAGAATATCAAGTCCTGCAACAAAGCTCTTATTATTAAACAATTATGGA